CAAAAAACTTGCACAGCAGTGAGGTATTAAATATAATTACAGTATGTATTAAATATAATTATAATGGGTATTAAATATAATTATAGTAGGGTATTAAGTGTAATTATTTATTCTTATAACAAAAAAATTATAAAAGACAGAAGAGCAGTGGGAATTAAATGTAATTATAGTGGGATATTAAATATAATTATAGTGAGTATTAAATGTAATTACAGTGGGTATTAAATGTAATTATAATGGGGTATTAAATATAATTATTCATAATGAACCGAATATATCACTGTTTTGTCGAAACGGTTCGAAACAATGCCGTTTCGACCGAAACGGTCCGAAACAGTACCGTTTCGACCGAAACACTGGAATTTTGTGATTCAACTACTGTTTCGTTTCGGAGTGTTGAAATTCTGAAACGTTTCGGACGTTTCGGACGTGTCGACACGACATTTTGATCCTTGCTTGGGGCATAACTAACTACATATAAGGCAATATTAGATAGTTGGCCAGCCATAAATTGAACACAGATAAAAAAATTGAGAGACAATCGAACAACCAGAATCAAATGATATGACATGAACAACAAAAATTTTGGCCTTTTAGTTACTTATCCCATGGTAACCTCTGAGCCTTCGTGTTGCACAATGATCTTGATCCAAAGTCTTCAATACCATCAATGAAAGAGACCAAAAGAAAGAAGGATGGATTTGTATTCAATCATTGGCTAAGAAAAGAAAAGAAGGGCCGTGAATGTTGGTTGTCTAAAATCATTGGCTATCTTTTAAAGAGGCGCAATCACCACTTTGCGAAAGGGAAGTAAACAGCAGGAGAAGGAGAAAATAACCTCATTTCAAATGGTAACTATAAACATCAGTTATTTACTCTTAACTGAGATGAAGTATGAATCCTTATCTCATTGGGTTGGTCAAATACTTCTTTTTTCCTCTCAAGACATGTCCTAGCTTCAGCCACTCGTTCTTGTTTTCTATATGGTCTTGATGTACGAACCCAATAAAGTTATATTTAGACACTAAGTATAATCACGTTCACAAACATATACGACCCAAATTGGGTATGCCCAAAGTCAGCTTGTTTACAAGACTGCTAAGAACTGAACAAGCTTGGTTGTCTAGATGATGAACAAACTGTGTTATTGAGATGTCAAGCACTGGCCATTCATAAACAGCTAGGCTAATTTGTAGCCCTAGTTAGAGCTGGATGATAATGGGGAAAAAAAAATTAAGTCATAAAATATCAAATTCTGAGCCTTGACTTCAATAAATAAAGGCAACAGGTTAAAAAGTGAAAAAGTAAAAACATAAAATATCACATTAACTTCATATTGCAATAAAACGTCCACAACATCAGATAGAAGTAAAAAGCAAGTTCCCAACCAAATGGTGTAAAACAGAAAACAATTCAGTTTCAAATCCAATGTTTGTGACCTACAAATCTATATTACATTTAGGCATAGTTTTAACACGTTTTAATTGTGCAATCCATTGTAGAGTCCTTGAATTCAACCTTAGGTCCTTTCCAAACCACATTTCCCTTCCAGTCCCACATACCAAAACTTTCTGGGTCCCAAGTAACCTTGCTCCTGTACTTACATTAGCAGCACCATCAACACATAACGCACAAGCAGTTCTTATTTGTTTTCTTCTTCGCTCATGAAAAATGTAGGATAGGGAACCCTAAGATGGCAACACTGCAGGAAACTGGCCCCTATCCATCCCACATCTACAGTAGACATTTTTCATCCTACAGGAACAATGATCACCACCAAAAACCTATTGGGCTCCCAGGCAGAGGCAAGCAGGGTCACCATCACCTCTCCACAGATTGAACTCCTAAACTTGGTCCATTCAAACCTTGAGGGAATAAAAGTAGTTGAACACATCTTAACACATAAGAACCAGAATAATAACAGTTGTACTTGAGATCACTTCTATTTACTACAGATGCAAACGTGTACATATATAACCACAGCAATGTTTCTCCGAGAAGTCAAGAAGCAGTATCCCTGATCAGAGTAATTAATAATGGACAACTTTTTCTCAATATGCAAAAATTAAAAGAGACATGTAAAGATTCCTTCAGAGTTGATGCCACATTCCGAACTTAATTCAACAAATTGTTACCTTAACTGCTAGATATCGACTACACCAATTGTGGAAGTTACTCCATCTATAATCATATATGTCATAGAGTGACTACCGAACTAGAACATCCCTTTTGGTCTTACTCTACACTTCTAACAACCAACCCTATCACCCATAAATAGTGCAGTCATTCTACATTAGCTGCACATGATAAATACCAAGTCAGATTCCTCCAATGACCAGTCCGGTTTATAGCCACCTCCAAATCCGAAAAAACCGCTATTTTATTATAATCTTCCTTCGCTTGCCACTCATCCATCCCAAGCCCCAACATCCCCATATGTGTAGACATCACACTTGAAACTTGAAAACATCTTCTAGCATGCCAAAGAATTTAGAATGACATTCACAAGAAGGTAACAGTTTACAGAAGTAACGGCATATTGAATGGCAAATTGCAAGTATAAAGCTCACATTCCTGGCACCTAGCCTCACCTCAACCCACTCTCCTACTGCCCCATCCCGTGCTAAGAGTGTGTAGGTTATGGCATCCATCCCTCCTCTGTCAACATGAGAGTTTAGATGCATCTGAAATCACTCCCTTTCCTCTCAACTCATTCACTTTGACGCCCATTTTTCCATAAAATTGGTATCATTTAGCCTTTTGGGAGAGCAATAGAGTACAACAATTCAAGAACATGATTCAAGGTCGCGGTATCGGTATCAATCAACGACTCAAAGAGCTCTAGGACACATCATTCTTGACATCGCGGCATTTTGTGGGGTGATACGATCTAAAAAGAATGTTGAACATGACGGGAGATTCAGGTCATATCGCGGAGTTGCGGAACTGTATTGGCCGATTCGGTGACAATAACTAGGTGACACAAAATTGACTTGGATAAAATCTCGGACAACTCGGCCGAATCATGCGAGACTCGGAGTTTATACGTATCGTGTAACGCTATAGCCTCGAAAGGTGCCGAGTCGTATCTGACTTGTATCGATATTGGCCGATACTTTGAACCATGTTCAAGAAGCAATGAGGGCATACAGGAAGATAGGACAGCAGGGTCATCACAGAAAAGTAGAAAGACTCCATGCCTGGATTCTCTACAATGGACAAACATCAAGAGGGAGGGGGAGAGGAGCAAATTTGTGGGACCTACAAAACATAGAGTGGATGCAACTCTTGCCAATTGACATAAACAGAAGTTGGAAGCACAATTAGCTCAACATAAATCATACAATACCAAAGGTAAAAGTGGCTAAGCATAAAATTACATGATTGACATCTTTCAAAAAAAAAAAAAACAAATGAAAACAAGAACCCACACCAACAACACAACAAATTTACAAGCAATCCCCCCCCCCCCAAAAAAAAAAAAAAACATAAACAACAAATATTACAAGATACAGGTACAATGCAGCTACAAACATTTCAACAACAAATCTAGGAATACTAATCAAAGATCGACATGTTCTCAATATGATAACTATAGTGACAAGCACAAGAAGAATAATCATATCAGTCACTCCATTTAGCAGACTGCATAGATTGATATCTTGAGTCAGCTATCCATGCTACATTATGTCAAGATATAAACAAATTGGAAAATCAAAACTGGAACTAGAGTTCTGAGCATCAAATTATTCGTGCAGTTTGGCACTTTGAAATTAACAACTTATTTCCCAATGTCTAGTCTTGCCAGACTAATGCATATTTTATTTTAAGTCAGACCATTGTAAAACAAAGCCAGGATCTTACCTTCAGTATAGAATCAGCAGCATCATGCGATGACACTTTGTCATTTGGCTTCGGCAGTGAAACACTAATATACGCTGGCTTTGTAGCTGCACTGGTTGCAGAATTATCCCTATCGGTTTTGGGTAAACCCAAGGGCAAACTGGGAGCAATTCTAGGATTTGTTGGAATCTGCAGTTTGCTTACCCTTTGAGAATCTAAGGGTGGAACAATGTGTGGCACAGTTTGCAATGAGGACTGATAACTCGGGGGTGCTGTGTGAGTAGCAGGATATAGGGTATTGGGTCCCTGGGGAAGTGCAGATTTTGGTTGATTCTGATAGCTTTCATAAGTGGGATTCATATCTAAAGGCTTTTGATCATTTGGTTGCAGTGGACCAAGATGATTGTTCCGGAAACCTGGAGCCCCATTCTTCCAGTAACAATCATGAACACCACTAAATGCAGCACCAGGCTGAGAAGAAAACCACAGAGAGTAAGGTTCAAAAACCAAGATTATTAAAATACTTATTCCTACACTATCAGGCAATGAATCTTACAACATCAATTCAATTGAAGAACCCGTTCCTGATTGTTAATCATGTGTGTGAGAAAATTAACGAGAATAGCCCCTCAACTGACTAACACTCCCATGGCTTAAATATCCATAGCATCATTAATCGGCACAACCGCACAAGTAGTTTAAGGTAAATTTTCATATATTGTCGTTTGATTATAGGAATAGGAATGACAACATGCAACTATCTCAGCAAATGTTGAATGACATCGTCAGTAAGCATACACACAAGAAGTTTAAAGTTTAAATTCATGATTTTCATTCAGGTCATAACATGGCTATGTGCAATGTGTGATACGAATTAGAAATTGTACTGATCCAACAACCAATTTATAGGTGCATCATCCTTATCCCATTGTATTTAAGAGAAAAGCATGGACAGTTGTTACACAAATTCATCATCATATGGTACACCATACACAACACACACTGGTATACAATAACTATGCCTAAGAATCTAAGACAAACATAAATACAGCTTCTCCATAGTATCGAATAATCCACATTACAGTAAGAGAATATGGGCAAATTGCTTTTATAATTTTACTATATAACCAACAATCTTATTATCCAATTCAAGCACAACTAAGCAAGGATCATTCAATTAAGGATGAACCACATATAGTAAATTAGGCAACTAGGCAGCCAGACATCCCAGGGTGAATCATGTCACAGACAGTGGTATTTGGAACAAAACAACAATAATTTCTTTGTCTACAGCATTGACATATTCAAACATTTTTAATGGTAAGTAAATCAATCAATAAAAATACAAAATGTATCAGTATTCTTGTACATTAAATACTCCCGTCAATATCCCACCTGTACACCTGCTAAAAGGGGAACATGACATGAACAATACATATATGAGAAAGATAAGGAGTAGCACAACTTTAAGACAATATTGTCTTGCTTTGAAAGCAACTTAAAACAATGTCACGTATCCTCCACCGAAGCAATACAAGCATCTATGATAACAACATTTCCCAAAAAATATAATTAGAAAATAACTAATGAGCATTCAAGATTCATACAAAGATGTCAGACTGCAAGTAAAAGAGAATAATTAATTGCTTTTTGCTCACCGGAAACTAACAACATTAGGAAAATAACTTCAATGGAGGGTTTATTCACACATCCATGCTGCTATATAAAGTAAAACCTTTCTCTGTGTAACAGCATTATTTCTAAAGCACGATCCTGTCTAGAAATAAAGGTATAGTGTGAATCTAACAAAAACAAAAACTGTTTGTCACCTCAGCTACAACACAACTACCCATATTTGTCTACAGGAGAAACAGAGGGCACTATTACCATCATTGAATCTTAAACATATAGTTCAGAAAAAGGGATTAGAACATGATTGTCAAAAATGTCCAATCTTAGAGATGTAAATGAAACTTACTACTCTAACTTGACCTTTGTGGACATTAGACAATTTAACTTGTTGACAAATATTACTTGTTTTGAAAATCAGATGATTTAAATATTGAAGCAACTCGATGACTTTAAACTTTCAAAAACACCATTCCCAAGGAAAGGGACACTTACATGGAGGTTCATAACAGAGTTAGGGACTTTTCTGGGGGCCCAATCCTTCATCACTAGTCCAATCAAATAACCTAAAAATCCACATTACCAACACACATTCTTCAATCCCCTTTTTTCTTTCATTTTTCTTTCCCGATTTCCCTTTCAAGGGGGAGGGGGGGTGGGTGTAGATTACCACCCCAAGCAAAGGCTATATGTCACCTCCTAGAGCATAAGGCCAGCAGCCAGTGGTTGCTTAAGCACAGCAATACCCACCAACAAATAAGCTAACACCCAAAGAGTCCCATCCTACACCCAAACGCAAATGCTAAGGAAGTGCCCATGTTCTGAAATGCCATTTATAACCTTAGACGGTCTCTCCAAACATGGCTTAATAAGCCCACCAAAACTGATGGTAGATGTGAAAAAATGAATATATATATATATATATATATATATATGTATGTGATTCATTATTTGTCAGTTATGATTCTAAGTCCTACAAGTGGACGAAACTTTTTATTACTTAGAAGGATGAAAATGTCATTAGCATATTATATGGAGACTAAACTAGGAAAAAGGACCTAACTTCTGACCTTTGACACTGGTAAAGGTTTCCTTCCTTCTCTTTTTTTTTTTGTTATTAGGGGTGGTAGGGGTGTTCCATGCATGCTAGCATTATAGCGACTCAAATAGACATTCCAACTCTAGGTTTTGAGCACTCAGAGACTGTAACCTTATGACTTTAAGCAAAGGCGAGAATCTGCAAAATCTAATGAAGAAATACAATATCCTATAACAGCTGACTACATATGCAACATGAAAGGAGCTTCCAACTTTAAATCTATGAAGGTTGTTTTGCAACACCTAGGCATCAATGGACATTACTAGGGATATGGATATTCATGAGAGTGAACCATACTGAAGTTTATTGCCACTGGTTATCATAGGCAGCTGGCAAGAAGATCATGTCACCTCAGTAACATCAATTAGGGTAACTTTTCACTCAAGTTTTGAGTAAGAGTCACAATCAAACAAGGATGTGAATGTTTTATTTGTAGCTCCAGAATTTGAAAGTTTGAATAGAAAGAAGCCTTTCTTTCTATTTCATAGTCTCACATAAAAACGTGCAAATTTCACCTTATTAAGCTCCCAGAAAATTGATAAAAACATGCTTTCTTGTGTGAATAAGACAGCAGGTATGTTTAACATGTATGCTTGTGAAAAAATTGTGAATATATTGTCGGCAAATGTGAAATTTCCTGTATAGATTAATGAAATTCCATAAGAGTTGTAAGATACCATATTTTCTGCATCGTCAATTCATTATGCAGTTGCCCTTAATTGAAGCATTATTAAGATATCACTATACTTAGGTACACAAATGAAAAAAATTTACAATCTTTCAACTCAAAACAATCATCTCTTTACCATTTCCCCCAACCAAAGTTCTAATAAAATATCCCTCTCCATTATCACTGTTACCTCTGTTCACTTTAAGAAACAAAAAGAACAGGAACATAAGACAGGAGTGAATACAGACCTACTGCTGTTGAACAGTACCTCAACCTAGGCCTACTGCTCATCCTTGGTGTTGTTAAGACCAAATAAACAACTGGAAGTGAGTTCAATTTCAGGATTGTATACCTGCTTTATTGTATATAGTCCCTAATTCATGCACATATATTTAATACTTATGAGTTGGGACAAGACAAACAGCATATATAAACATACAATAATATAATTTTGTGCATGTATTCTTACATAAAAAAACCATCTCAACATCATGGGTAGGAAACAAGTAGAATTTGGAAAACTTCACACTCTATGAAACAGTAAGCACCAAACCTGCCCTGAAAGCAGTTCAGATGAACTAGACTCTGGTCTCCAAGGAGTAGTAAAAGGTACAGGTGGCTGGCTGTTTGAAGCTGAATACCCACCCGTGACAGCAGGAGCAGGAGCAGGAGCAGGACACGCTGTAGTAGACGTAATAGGAACAGAAATGTTTTCAGTCCCAGGGGCACAGGTGACTTCCGTTTGATTGTAATAATCTGCCCAATGTTTATAAGGTTCCTGATATTGTTGTGAACTTGCAATGGCACTGCTAGAACTATAAGCACTATTTGAGTCAGGAGTGTAGTTTGGGTATTGATGAGAAGTGTAGGATGCATAGTTCCCTTCACGCCACAAGTTGGTCTGATTACTGTAACTGCCACTTGGGTAACCTCCAGATGTCTGATAATCACCAGGATTGTAGTAAGTGCTTGAATAACTTGCAGGCCCAGCATAAGACCCAGTATTCTGAAATGAGGAAAGAGACTGATAAGGAGCACCTGTGCTTTGATATGCTCCTATAGGCTGAGGGTAAGACTGATTAGATTGCTGCTGATAGCCATTGTAGTAACCTGTGTATCCTGTATTGTTATATCCATAGGGATCAGTATTTGGGTATGTTGCATAGTTGCTATATGCTTGTGGTACATTTGCTGTTCCAGAAGTTGACGTAGAAGCCAGGGATCCCACAGTCAAACCATCCTGGACATTCCTTGAATGAGGCTCAGCACGCTGATCTTGGTGGTAGCTGGAATTAGTAAGAATCCCATTCTCCGTCGAGAAATTATCTGTCCTTTGTGTGGTCCATGGTACAGCTGCAGATCCACTAGATGGGGCATAATATGAAGATGTATACGCTTGTGAAGAATCAAGAACCTGATGTTTATAAGAATCATCAACATAAAGAAAGATTGCAGTCATTAAAACAACTGCTAGATAAGAAAGAACAAAAAGATGCAGCAAGTAAATGAATAAGTACACCAAACCATTCTAGGTACAGGAGGAGGGAAAAACAACCACCACAAACAAACCAAAAACTGAACGCTTGACAGTACAAGGCATAAAAAAAGGTTCTAAGCACGTAATCTTCAACATCTTTGTTTGATCATTGATGGTTCCTTGACCAAAAAATATGGAAAACCAAGTAACATCTTACCCCTCAATCTACAGAGGAAATGGCAAAAGTAATATTAGGAATGCCCTTCTTTACACCTAAAGTAAGATGAAATCCATAGATCGGTAGGTTAAACAGCCCGAATGCTTTCCAACAGCAGCTGCCCATATGCGCCATGGGAGCGACCCAACTCAACTCCACTGTAAAGGATTTTCATGACCAGATGATATACAAAGATATAGATTTATCAGTTAATAACAAGCTAATAGACCTTTTTCTCAAAGTAAGCTAATCAACCTTCTCCATAACCAAGAAAAGATGTTTAGCCCCTATTCATGAGGGAGCTGAAAGAATCAAGCTAACTGCTCCAGTATACTTTCATAATATAACAAATCTCCTGACTTGGTAAAGGTTTATTGGCATTTCAATAACTTTAGAGTCGTGAACATATTCTCAATTTTGAGATTTAAGGGAAATGTGCTGTAATTGTAATCCCCGCATCATATTTTGGATGCTTTTTTGGTTCCTATTAATAGTCTTTCAAGTGTAAAGACCCAGTCTTGATAGTGAAAATCAGTATTTTAGGAGTGTCTTTGGCTACCAGACTTAAGATAAACCACAGTAGTCCATAAATATCTACATTATTGTTGTATGATGTAGCTCAACCATTCAAAGGTGAAACCCACATGACGACTTCTCCTTTTCTTCTCAGTTCTCATTTGTTATGATTTTCAAGTTGTTGTTCACAACACTAGAAAAACCATTTAATTCATTCGTAAACTCTAACCTACCAACTCCTGACCAATGCATTTCTTAGCTCTTATTCATTCCCCTCATTTGCTGACAATAATTGTAGTGGAGTTGTTTCCAGCCGGGAGGGCAAGGGGTTGTCAAGTGTCAACCTATAACCTCCAAGATCTAGCCAACTCCAACCTTTTAAATTGCTAAGCAAATTTCTTCATCCCAGTAAGCCCTACACCAATATGAGTTTCACAACAAAACCCACAACAAATATAGGCTGCAAAATTAGAAGTTTTCTTCATAGTCATACGGCAACTTCCAATCAAGCCGAGTAGGTGAGTGCTTCCTGGCACTTCTCCTACATTGCAGAACCTAAACCAACTCAGAGGGAAGGGAACCATAATGGTATAGCTTTCTACATTATGATTGGCATCAAGATGTGTAAAAATTTCCTTCCAACATCCACACACTCAAGCTGCAAGCATTAATAGAACTCAACCGTTCCAAATGCAACAAATTAAGTACACATTAATTAACTGAATCAGAAAGATATAAAAAACTAAACTTGTTAGTGTTTTGAACAAGGGCAATTACAAAAAATAGGAACAGAAGATGCAGACTCCGTCCACCAGACAAATGTTTTGTAAATTCAGTGCAGTCAAGCAACACCATCAAAAACAACCTAGATATCAGGACCACAAAAATCAAAGAATGGAAGCTACTAAAAGAAGTGATCCATCAACTTTCCTGAACGATTCTACACCATAAGACAGATCTAATGTTGTGCTGAAAAAAAGTAATTCAAAAGGATGGTGCATCAGAATCTCTTCAGTCCTCAAAGTAATACCCAGGACAATCCCACACAGTTGAAAAACGATGGATTGCACCTGGCAACTTGAAAATCTCACTGACAAAGCCATTTCATGTGGTTCCTTGTGAATATTTGTGTATGCATATGTAGTTCTCTTTCCATATATCTGTGTGAATGTGTAAGTGAATGGATTGCTACTATTTAAATTAGTACAAACAAGTGGTTCCTTGTGAATGTGTAATATGTTACTGTCCGAATGATAGTGTTTGTTTCGTTGAATGATTTTTTTATCAGGCTTTAGTTTCCGCGCTCATTAATTTAGACTTGCAATAGCTTGTAGTTCAACCGACAATTTACAGTAAATTAAGTGGAGTGGTGGAACAGTTTGAACCGAAGCCAATACCTCGGATAAGGCTCGGTTCTGTGGAGTTGATTAATGGAATAGTATTGTGCAGATTTATTGCTTCTGCTTAGTGAGAGATAGTGTAACTTTTGCTTCAAGAAATACTGGTTCAAGGATGAAACTTGGTGAACTAACATCATTGGGGTGCTAGTCATTTAAATAGCAATAAATACATAGAGATATATGGCAAGAGAACTACATATGCATACACAATATATATATATATATATGGAAAGAGGGCTGGGCAATTACCTCGACCGAATTCGGATTCAGTGTGGATATGGTGTCAGCGGTGCCTCCTTGATTCATCATCTCATTAACATCCTGATTCATCACACATGAAATACAAAGAAATTTAGTTTACCCTATTGATAGTAACCATTTATACTCACTATACTATAAATTTTAACAGATAAAACAAAAAAATAACTCCTTTATTGTGTAAAATAAAATAAAAAATTGAAAGAAAAGCAAAACCCTAATTAATTCTTCAAAAAGAATATACTTCGAACCTTCAACAACTCTTCTGACGTCAGAAATCGAAGCAAAAACCTTGTCGTATCCAATTCGAACAAACCAAAACCAAAACCAAATTGAAAAATGAACACGTACGAATAGATAAAAGTACAATCTAATAGAAACAATTTGTAAGTATATCTATATATATGTTTTGCGTGTACACCTAAATAGCTACCACAACGTAGTCAATTGAAGAACCAATATCGAGAGAGAGAGAGAGAGAGGTAAAACGTAGATACAGCACAAAGGGGGTCGAACGAAATTTGTAAGACAGATGGGGAGAGAGAGAGAGTTTGATTGAACGATTGATTCAACCCATTGTCTTTGTTGGGTCGTATTTGGGGTCTAGGTTGTTTGGGCTGTCGAAGTTTGGCGGAGGAGAGAGAAATAGACAATTGGGCCGCTAAATTAAAACACGGCAATTGTATTGTGTTGTGTTGTGTGTTATTACGGCTTGTGTCGATAATTAATTAATTTTAATTTAATTTAAATTTGTTTATTTTTATTTCATGTTTGTATTGATTTAAATTAATTAATTTTAATTTAATTTAAATTTGTTTATTTTTATTTCATGTTTGTATCGATTTATACAATTCGTGAATAAAAAATTTAATATTAAAATTTAAGTTTAAGATTATATTATCATTTAATTGAATATATGCTCTTATTTTTTTTATAATCTAAAAATTAACTTAATAAATATAACAATAAAAATGATTAATAATATCTTTTTTGTATAATAATTATGTTAATATTTGATAAATAATAACAAATAATTGACATTTTATTCCTATAACAGTAATTAAACGTGTTAATAAGTCGTGTCATTTACGGGGTTTGTATTAAAAAATAATAAATCTTAACCCGCTAATTTTGTGTCAATTTCAAATTTTATTTTCATGTTGTGCCATAAATTGTCACTCCTAGCTAAATCAACAAATTTGGAAACAATATGCATCCCAAATTTGGAATTCTCAAATGAAAACCTAAATGATTTAGGAAACAATTTGACATCCTTAGCATTACTCAAATTATTTTCCCTGTGCTCCTTTTGATTTTGGTACCGTATTAAAATTCATCTCTAATTATTGATAAATTTTAAATTCGTATTCATACATCGCACTCACATGAATCATATATGATTTTTATGTTCATTCATTGATTATGATGTTCTATCATCTATGGAACGATCAAATAATAAAATAACAAAAGCAAAAATTAAAAAAAAATATATATATATATAGAGAGAGAGAGAGAGAGGATTCTAAAATCTTATTGGATAAAAAATAATTGCACGATACCAAAAAATGGTATTTCAATATCGTCTATAGACCCACATAAAAAAGTCATTTGGTTTCATTTTCTCGTCATTTGGCACACAGACTACAAACAGTTCCGCTGCTTCTAGTTATTCGAAATGCATATTCCTATGGATGGAGATATTTGGATTTTTATTTTTTGGTATTATGATCAAGGATATATGAATTAACTTATAGCATTTTAATTAATCTCATCTCTTGTGCGATTCAATGCAAGTCATTCACGTCGGAATTATAAAATTTTTAAAGGATGACATGTCTCCAAAAAAATTATTAAGTTTTAAAATCAGGATGTTTGGATTTATAACTCAGATCTGTCACTAAGGGTATAATTTGAGTGGGTTAACCCGAATTCCATCCATAAAAAACAGGGATTGGACTGAGTTTTTTTAATACTTGGGTTAGGGTTGGGCGAAAAAACACAAATTCAAATTGAATTCAGACATTGCTCGAGTTAAGGCTTCAAGTTTTCAAGTTCAACAACAAATATATAAATCGGGTTCAACTCGAATATTAAATCGGGCTCAACCCGAATTTTAAATTGAACTCAACCCGAATATTAAATGGGGCTCAACCCTAACATATTTAAAAATAACAATAATGTTATGCTGATCAAAATTAAAGACCAAATAAAAAGTATAAATTACATGGCAGTTGCTGATATGACAAAATTAACTGTCATGCCATTCCTTTTCTTTGTTTTTTTTTTGCTTGTGTGTGTTAAGGAAGCAGAGAAGACAAAATGATTTTGCCCCATCTCTCCTTGATTTGGGGCTTGAATTTTGAGAAGAAATTTTTTGGATTTAATCAAATATTAATCTTACCTAATAAGCCTTTCAAGTTAATTGTCATGTTATTTGAGCTCTTTATTTGGTCCATAATTTTGGTCAACATAGCATTATTGTAAAAATAAATATATAAATCAATATAACAAAATGACAAATTCACATATCACAGAATACTCATTTTATACTCAACAAAAAAAAATAGTATGTGTCTTTGCTCTTCACTCACCATTTATTGTTTCAGAATATTTAAAGATATTTTTGTAAATTTTGACTATTTTGAAAAAATAATTCCTAAATTTTTTGTTTGTTTCTATGATATTTTTAAAACAGGTCGAAACAAATTGAAACATTTTTGTTTTTTAGGTGACCGCAACAGTGCACTGAAACAAAATTTTAATCATGTTGGTATGTCAAGAAAATATTCAATGTAAAAGTGTCACCACATTATTAATTAAAAGTAAATAGTGTTACTCTTATTATTTTAATAACTATTGATAATTATAAGAAATGTTCAAGGTAATGGTAATCATAACTAGCATGTCACAATAGTGATCTTCACCAATTTTATTTGATGTTTTTATTATTAATTAGTGATACCACATATCAATAATAACTTAATATCAAGGGTAAATTTCATAATTAATCCCTAAACTTTAACTTCAATTTAATTTAATACCAAAATTTTTAATTACTATAATTTAATTCCTCAACTATTAATTTTTTCTCGGTTAAATACTTCCGTCAATTTTTACTGTAAGATTAAATGAAAACATATGATCTAACGATGGAAATTGATTAGATCAGACTAGTCTCCATTTAATCTAACAATAAAAATAAATGAAACGACTTCGTTAAGACGAAATTTATAATTGAAAGATTAAATTAAAATAATTCAAAAACCAAAAACCAAATTAAGAACTAATTATAATTTTTTCCCTAATATCAAAGTTACACCCAATACTTTATTCATGGAATGAAGTGGAAGGGTGCGTGTTTGATTGGTTATAAGACTTTTTAAGTCGTTTGTAATTTGCTTTGACCGGCTAAAACTGGTCAACACGGAAAGTCCTTGAGCAATTCACCAAATAAAACTTTATAGTCGTTGTTGTGACTTTCGAGTTCTAGTTTTTCGGTGCATTGAAGTCACCTTCAAGGATTTGTCTCGAGTCATTATTGGTTTGAAAAACAAAAATTTATATAATAAAATATTTAATAATTTAAATTTTTATCACATCACTCGTTTTTATCACACGTTCAATCATTTAGTACTCGATAAATTTGTAATTTAACATGATTTTTATTTCATATATTATCCATACACAATAATATACATATGTTGAGAAAGTTTTGTCAGATTACGTATTTTTGAGAAAATTTTATCAATATTTTTTTAAAAATAAATTTTAAATGATATAATCGAATATATGAAGAAAAAAAAATTATTATCAGGATCAATTTTTGAGCGCTACAATATTTATGTTTCATCCTGTCTTCAGATTAGTGTAAGTTATATTTCACTATGAATTGATCTTAATATGGTTGTGTTTTACTTTAAAGAAAAAAGAAGGTGTGCTTGTAGGCGCAGTGGATGAGTGATTTGTTCTAAATTTAAGAGTATAACTCATAATTACTCCTTAAACTTTGTCTTCAATTTTAATCTGATATTTGAACTTTCAATTGTCCAAATTTAGTCTCTCAACTATTAATTTCATCTCAATTAAATATTTTCATCAATTACTTTTATTAGATCAACCAAAAACTAGTCAAATCTGATCCATTTCAATGTTAATCTATCAGTAAAAATGAACGAAATGACTTAATTGAGACAAAATTAATAGTTGAGTGAGTAAATTAAAAAAATTAAAAATTGAAAGGCCAAACTACAATTAGAGACAAAGTTCAAGGACCAATTATAATTTTTACCCTAAATTTAACGGCTACAAGAGTAGCACAAGTTACGATATGTTAATGCAATATTGAAAGTTATGTTTAGAACCTATTTGAATAAGGTTTGCGATTAAGTGTTAAGAGGTAAATAATATCATCTCGATCAGTAACAATCAGACTAAACCTGAATAGATTATTGAACTCTTTTAGGTCCAAATGTCTGAAATTTATGGCTTCTATTGATTTTCTTTTCTATTGATGCTGTAGATATAGAAACTAAAGTCCCTTAGGATCTCTAAAAACATGGTACTTTGCTTAGTTAGGGTGTAGCAGAGGCCAACTCTATGCTGAGTCCTAACTTAGCAATCAATAACTTTACCCCTTTTTCAAAAAAAAAAAATATCCTTGTAAAACCCACTTACCTACAATCAATCCGGCTTAAATTCATAATACATGATCAATAAAATAAATAAATAAATAATATATTAGAAGAAATTTCACTCTAAAACACTTCGATATTCGGTCTGCATCAGGTGGTTGCAGTAATCTACCATTGCTCTATCTTGATAATTGGCCTCCAGCTCAATTGGTTTTGAACATGTAATTCAAATTGGATGTGCAAGAAATTAATTGGAGCGAAAAAAAAAAACTCTCTCTCTGTAGTTTATTTCTTGTAGCTTAATAAAATAGTGTTTCAACCTTAATTTTCCCGGTAAAATAAAAGAAAATGTTCGATGAAACGGTATCACCATATCATCACTGTCACGTGGTCCCACCAACCAATTAAAACACCACAACTAAACAAAGTGAATCTCATTAATCTTATGTCACCGATAATTATGAAAATAGTGAGATTCATTTACTTACTTGTAGTTTTTTAATTAGTTAGTAACACTACGCGACAATGATGAGGTAAAATTACCATAGCATTGAATATTTTTTTCCTAAAGTAGCATCCCAACCAAGCTATTACAAGGGATAAGTGGGTCATTTAGATTTGAACATAACTTCAAACACGGGCAAAACACACTTTAACCACTTCCAACTTCTAGCTCACTTTTGACCTCCAAGGGAAGCTATTTTGATCCAAATTAGCTTTCAATTCTACCTAGAGTCCACCATTAAGCCATTACCAACTCTGCTAAAGACCCGCAAACTTCCTGACTATTCCCAGCTCGACATAATAAATAACACTCAACACTTCTAAGAGTTCCCAATGACGGGAATCTCGTATAATGAATATCACTATACTGGTTAGCTCTCAACATTGCCACAAGGGGCAGTATATGCCAGCAAATTTTACAGGTTTATAGTCAGCTATCACTATAAATATGGATGGCAGCTGCGGAACTGGGTATGTATTTTGAACCCTCACCTTATTAAGAGCACGATAGTCAACACATAGTCTAAGGGATTCATCTTTCTTTTGAAAGAGGACAGGTGCCCTATACGGCGCTCTGATCACCGAGGATGATCGCCCACACAATGAGCCATTGTTGTTCATTTTTAAACCTACTACCACATAACTAGATAAGAACTCCATCATAAAAAACATAAATCCATAATATCCCCTCTCCTCCATTTCTTCCTACTCCCACAATCAAATCCTATCATCAGCAAGATCTCTTGCTCCCAAGCTGCCTCCTCTCCCTCCCAAGCGTTAAACCGGAAAATTCAACCTCTCATCAGATTTAACCTGGTTGCTAATGCATAAAGGCTTCTATAACAATACTAACTTAATATCCCATAAAAGAGGGCCAAACCAGTTAGAGCCGGGGCCTACCTGCATTTCAAAAGAAAAATCTCCCATGAAGCCCTATTTAGCATGCAGAAAATGGGTGGTGCAAACAAGGGCACAATAGATCAGAAATCTGCAATGTTCAGATCATCTGTGGGATGCAGAAACAAAACCCACCACACACATTTCCTAATTGAGGGGCCGCTTTCAGATCCGATGAGCACCCATCATCCAACAATCACCAACACAGCATATATGTGCATCATTTGTTTCTAATGAACTCCAGAATCTTCAAGTTCTTGAGCAACAAATGGTACGTGGGAGCTCACCTTTCAAACATACATAACTAAAACCTTGACTGTTTGCTTCCTAAGACGCTTGCAAGGCCATTTTTCTCCTCTTTAGACATCAATTAATCACAAAGCAAAAGCACCGTCAGCTAATTGCTTGAAACACCAACACTTTGCAAAGGAATGTCAGCACAGTACACCTGCTTCACAAGAAATCAATAATCCACCAGATAGTAGTACACACCATGATGCTCAATTATGCAGCCACCATACCTTGTGAATCCCACCAGTGCAAAAAAGCTCCATGATGTAATGGTGCATCCTACATGCAGATTCTATTTCGCCAACAAAGCAAAAAATAATGATCAGCATCACAATCAAAAATAGTGTGGCCTACCTGCTGAGAAAGGGGTTATATGCATTAAAGCAAATTAATGGCACAAAGCCATAGGCCCAACAGTCACCATAATGTGATCCGAGGAACACAGCTGTGGTAATTGGGTGATTAAAGAAAAACCAAAATTAGGGGCGCTGTTATAGAAGATCCATTGGTGGCTGAAATAGATATACTTCAAATTTTTGTCCATCCAAGCAGACAACAGTATCATCAAATAAAGTACTAGGAGAAACTTTATTGGAGGTCCAACCAAGAATTTACAAGAACTAACTTCTTCATGACCATGGGAGAGATAATGTACCAACATAATATATGACAGCAGAGAGCTTGATAAAACAAGATTGATATGCTGCAGCTAACACTCATGCCTAGGCCCAAAAGAGGAACCAGCCGTACAGGAGAATTTGCTACCATAGCAAGAGAACTAAACTTCTTAGTCCAGAGACCACTTAAGCATCGGATGTAAATTAACAAGTATTGAGCCATTTATACGCCAAATATGATTGCCCCACAAAAAAGAAACGCCATCATTAGCAATGTCATCACTTTTTAAATATTCCATGCAAACCGTCCACTCACTCTGCATTTCTGGTAAATCCTAATTAGAACGCTTATAACTAAAACTGTTTCTACTAGCAGTCCACTATTCCAACCAAAACAAGGCATCCCTTATCTTTTGTTATAATTCCAGCAACTGCCTGCAAAGTGTAAATGTAATTATTAGGAGGTAAAATAAATACGTCCTTGATGAGGATGCAGATAACCATATTTTCTCTCCCATCTAGTCGTCTCCTGCCACACCAGAAAAAACACTCAGTTTTCTGTTCATTATGAGCAGCAAGTAAACTAAGTCAAAATCTTCTTCTTTTAACTTCGGTCATATCATCAAACCCATCGTCATTCCACCCCTGCCCACCATGCCGGTAGTTTCCTTCTTGCTCTTCCATGCCTCTCATTCTCCTAGATGCAATTGTAGGACGATTCTTAAACGGCCTGTCAAACTCCCTTACCCTCAAGCTATTTCTGTCAACAAAATCCGGATCAGGTTCTGGACAGAACCTACGAGGCCTGGACCCATCATCTACTTGAAAATGAAAATTCTCACCATCATCACCATTATAAGGAGGCCTAAAAGAACGTACCAGTCCTCGTCTCTCACACAACTTCTTTCTTTCATCGACACTTCCATCAGCACCAAATTCATGAAATCTACCGGTGCGTATGGGCCCTCCAAAGTAATCATCATTATCCACTCTCTCTCGAGGATCTAAACTATCAAATCTCCTAGAGCTTCTAGGAAGGCCCCGGTCAGGTGGGCTCCTTCTATTGGGTATAACAGACCTCAGATTTCCATGGTCCCTTTCAGAATCCATATCCCTCATTAAGTTAGATGACCGAGTCACATAGGGAGGAGAGCCTCGCCTTCTACCCACTATCTGTTCCGGGAAACAGGCGCGATTAGGGGATCTCATCCTTTCAATCCTGTAAATTGCTGGAGATCTCCGCTGAGTTAATTCTGGAGGTCCAGTAAATCCATCCGGAGATCTTCTTCGAGGAGATGACCATGGGCCAGGGGAACGCGGTCTGGATCTAACAGGGGATTTTGATCGAAATCGAGGAAGACCCCTCCTCTGCACAGAAAAGTCCCTGTTCCCTCGAGCAAACTGATCATCCAGTCCTTCATATGGAGGTTGACGACGAGTAAATACAGGATCAATAAAATCATTAGGCAAACACCTCATGTACTTTTCTTCATGCCCGAGTCCAACCAAATCAGAACCATCTTCACCAGTGCATCTACTTGGGCTCATATTTCTTGGAATTCTACCAACCCTATGGATGCTCCTTGGTGCAGGCCCATCTCGACCTCCGGGAGATAGCCTCCTTGAGGATAAATGACGAACTGAAGGCAATTCATCATTTGAAGACTTTCTTCCTCCTCTACCAGATCCAACAACAGCCCCATCTGGGACAATATCATAACCATTACATTCTAGCTCTGCATCAGCAACAACAGAAGCCCGCTTATGTCTGGGGAACCGATAATCAGCTTGACGATTATAAATTCCTGGAGGGAAATTATGGTCTGAACGCCATTCACTGCATAGGTTGTCTAATCGACTCGATCCCCTTCCTCTTCCACGGATAAAATTCCGTCTATAGTTCCTGAATGAAAGATCTTGACTCCTATTTCTTACAAATTTGTGGGGACCATCAGCGTAAAATTCATCTCTGTAAAATGCAAGAAAGAAAAATCAAATATGGCATTTCAATGGACAGCTAAAACAGTTTTCGGAAAAATAAAAAAGACTACAAAGCAGTAGCAACAACATGGGATAGTCACCTATTCCCTCTTGGATGTAATTTATCTCCATCAAATTCAGAATATCTCTCTCTTCCGGTTTGCGATGTCAAAAACCTACCCGCAATAGATCTTGTTTGATAAGGAGATGTCAGATTAGAAGCTCGAGGTAAATTTATAATGCGGCTTCTGTTACCTCCACTATTAGCATCTTTAGCAGCATCGCTGTCATTTAGAGGTGGTTCTGTATTGGGTAAAGTTGAATGTGTTTTTTCCACCATGTCAGTTCCTTTAACACTCTCATCAGTAGCCTGACCAACCATTGTTACAGTCCCTTGGCTTCCATTCGTGGCTCCATCAGCTGATAAATTTTTTTCATGGCCCTCCTGGGTTTCTTTCCTTCCTGATCGACCAAGTGGTTTAATTTGAATTGTAGGCCTCTTTTCATCAGATCCAGATGCTGCCACTTCACCTGTCAATTGTTCATGCAAAGAACCATCTTCATCAACACCCTTTTCAACTATCTCACTGCAAACACTGCCAGCACAATCTTGGATATGATCCTCCCTTTTACCAGGATCTACCATCTTACTGTCATTTTCATCGAGATGGGATTGGACACTACTATTACTACCACCAGGAAAACCAACACAGTCGACAGTTTTAGTATCACAGTCACCAACGTCAATATTTTCTGCCTCCCTTACTTCACCACTAGGGCCTTCTACCGCCGAATGCACTAGTGGTTCCCGGACCTCGCCATCTTCAAATTCATCATCTTCTTTATTACACTGTCTATCATCTATGTCACCAGGAGTAACGAAAGCATGATTACCATCTGATTCATAATTAGTATCATATGAATCTTCTTCTTCCAGCATATCAGCCGATATGCTTATCTTTTCCTCATCACTTACTGATCCCCCACCATTTCCACATGAATCTAGAGGAAGCTCATCCATCTGCTCCACTCTGCTCATTTCAGGAATACCACCTTTCAAGTCCTCTGCTCTGCAACTATTTATCATACCACCAGATACATTTGATTCTTTATGTTCTGGGCCCACAGAAAAAGAAACTGTTTCTGCAGCAGTTTGATCACCACTTCCACATGCTTTCTGAGGTGCACAGCTATTAAGAACTTTGTTATGAATCAAATGTTCTGATTGAACTGGTATCTCTCCACTTGTAGACAACTCTGAACAAGTAGGAAAAGGTGCCAAAGGCACTGTCCTGGTTGAAGAAGAATTGTTGTCTATCATACTGCTTGTTGCCCGAATACCCACCGGAACTGGTTCTGATTTTATTGATCTATGTTCCACTAATTTATGAGAGCTAATGCTCAACAATTTCGCAGCTTCTGTATTGCACCTCTCCACCATTTCCTGCTTTATAGTTCCAATATCCAATCCCATGGGATTGCCTCCGACTCCCAAACAATCCTGTTTAGCATTCTCATTTAATGGCTCTGATTTTATGGCCCTAACACCAACAGAATCCATGTTTACTGTTGAAACCTGCACTCCAAGCAAGTTTGCATTAGGAAAATTTCTACCTGAATCTGCTTTAGCTGATGAGCCAGATTGTTTCTCGGTAAAGCTTGGCTGACAAAAGGACACACCAAGGCTTAAATGAAGGGAATCCTCAGATTTATATTGCTGGTTTGGGAGAAAGGATGAGCTGGGGAAATTAGATCTGTGTTCAACCACTCCAGGACTCTGTTTCCCTGTATCAACACCGATTCCAGCCATCCCTGTTGAGCCTATACAAGCCCTTTTATCATGTCCACCCCTAGTCGCATTTAACACATCATAATAAACATGACCCTGTATAGCAGCATCACCAAGAGAACCCTCCCATGCATCCATTGTAGTGTTCAGGTCCCAGTTCGATCTACTACCACATCCATGGCGGCTATGGTTATTCAAATTATCATCACTACTCTTGCATTGGGTGATAGGATTTTCCTTTCTTAGATGCAAACCCAGTGAAGAAGGGTCTAATTTGTCGTGGATTTGATGACTCACTTCACTTTTTTGACTTGTCAACACTGGGATACAAGGTTCCTTTAGTCCTAATGATAACAAAACATTCCCTGGTACTGTAGAAAGGTCGAGTTTAGAATCCCTTTCAACCTGTTGTTTGCTAAGGGCACTCCCTATATACAATGCAGACACTTCATTAGGTGGTAAATGCAACTCAGTACTTGCTGGAGCTTTTGGGGACACATATTTTCCAGCCTGCATAAACTTCTCGTTGCTTTCTATGTTATCCACGAAACTTGAGCAAATCGTAAGAGTTGGTTCCTGAACCGTGTCTCTAGAGAGGTTAACTTTGTTTGGGACGTAGTTAAAATTTGTATCAGTGAGGCTCTCCTGTTTGACCTCCAATATGGTACTCTTGCTTGCATCAGATCTGGCGGGAGAATTTGTTTCTTTTTTTACCTCCGTAAAGGAATTCTTGCTCACTACAGATTTGGTGGGAGAGTTTGTCGGATCACTAACATTCGAAAGAGATAGCTCTTGACTCGGATTAGAGTGTTGGTTCTGTATTTTATCACTTTCCACAGAGAGTGTAGACAGTTCTTGAGGCAGAGGTGAAGCCGGTCCAATTAATGGAAATTTCCTTTTCTTAATAGGAATACCTGCAGAAGAATTACTAGATTGCCGGGTGATGATACCAGGCTGCAAATATAACATAAATCAATAAATATTAAAGAAACAAGTAAAAGCTTCACAAAAAAGATAATCCTAACAAACAATAAAATAGAAGTAAAATAAACACCTCTTCATTTCCTGAAACAGGCATGACTCCCAAGATTGGCCAAGTATAAAACTCTTATCTCTGTCACTAACAAATATAACTCACAATAACCAAGCCCTGAAACACATTACTGAAGCGCCCTCAACCCCCATCCACAATGGATTAAAACTATTTGCAAGCTATTGGTTGACCGTGTAAAATTATGCAGTTTTTGACAGTCTGTAGTGAAAATTTTAACTGCAGAAGAGTAGAGAAGACCCTGCAGACAAAAATATCAAACAATTCAATCACAAATCGGTTCAGAATGAACATCAGCAGTCAAACAAAACAATAGACAGGCAGAAAAGAGTAGAAACAAGTTCACAACTTCTCATCAACTCTTTAAATTGAAAATGAAGATTGATACGACCATAAAGTACAAATACTTAACAAAAAATACAACCAATAGTAGGCACACAATCATTTTATGACACAATAAAAGAGAATCCAACAAATAAAGTAATACAATACTGAAAGAAAATTCTTTAAAAATCCCTTGTAACCTAATAAATGATCTAATAAAAAGCAACCCAAATCGGTTCCAAAGTCGTCCCAACAAAATGAATTTCCCTTAATATAAAATGTTTCCATATAAAAAAAAATTAATTAATTTGTCCATTTCAACAAAGGAAATTCTACCATGACACTTTACAAATTCCTTTTTTTTTTTTTTTTGGAAAAAAAAGAATCTTCGCACGTATATTCTTTGGATCAAGAATTCCGGAAAACATTTTTCCGTCGAAACAGCCGTATCCAAAAGCAATATAAAAGCTCAAAAAATCCATCTGTATCATCTGTTCAAATTTCAAACCCTCCGCAATAAATCAGAGGGAGAGAGAGAGAGAGAGAATCGATAATGACAAAAACACCACAGATCAAAAGCAGAAGAGTTTTGAGGCATTAATCAGATCCAAAGCAATCTGCCACAAACATAGCCATCGCTAACAGATTGACGGCTCTCCAAGGTCAAAACAACCAAAATTTAGTAATATCATACATCGAAGAACAAAAGTATACATATCTCTTCCAATATACAACTACTGGAAGAAAAGATACGGAGATTCTAATGAAAAATCAAGGAAATTTACGGAACTTACACAATAGAGAAGGGGAAGATAATAGAAAGGGAAAGAGTAAAACTAGCATGATCATACACAGACCACCAGCAAGGAAATTACCTGAAAACAATGATCAGATTACAGAGACAATAGATTGTATCTATATAGAAAAGTAACTATTGAAAGAGACGGAGAGAGAAACCGGGAGAAATGAAGGAAATGAAGGGGAAACTTGCTCTTGGTATGTGAGTATGACGGTGGTGAAGAAAATGGAGGAGAGAGAAATACAAAACTTGGTAGTTGCTGCGAAGTTTCCTTCTTCTCTAGTTGATTGATTAGGGTTTGTTGTGTGTGCCCCACATTCTTTAATGCTTGTTTTATTGTTGGGTGAATGACACTTTATATCCTGAAATTTTCAAAATTGTTAATTTGCCATCTACAAAAATAAACTTTTCAAATCATACCTTCTATCGAATAAAAAGGCAACAATTAAAGTTTAGTAATATATAAGAGTAACATAATGATGTATCGAGTGATAAAATCACAACGAAAAAGTCTATAGATAGAACTACAACAATGTCATTAGACCATGTAATTGACACATCATTAGATCAACAGATTAGAGTTCTGTAGCATTGCTCAGCATATAAATAATTGAACATAAAAATGGGAAATTGTAATGACTTCAACACATATAATTATTAGATAAAATAACAGATTTATAGTTACGGGCTATATTTAGGAGTGTTAAAATATAACACGATACTAAATTAGAGGGTTTAAATTTTTCTTAAATCATTCGTTTTGTAAATTAATGGACTCGATACGACACGATTAATAAATAAATTATGGGTGATGTCAATCAATATCTATAATATAAAATATGACATGTTTTAATAAGTTCATTCGACGGTTTCAAATAGACTCATCCAACGACCACCAATATATCTCTAAAAACTATTAACATTACATCGTGCATTCAAGTATAGGTTATCTCTAGTAAATACACAATACAACTCGTTTTTATACTAATTATACACGATACAAATTTAATATGTCACGATTTGTTAATATTAATTAATATATAAATCAATTATGGATGGAGTTTTTTTTGACAAAATCTGCTAAGATAATTTAGAAACCCGTCTCACCTGACATGATTGACAAATTTAACTACATTTTTCACTTTTTTATTTAATTAAGGGTATAATTTAAAATATTTAAAATTTTAAAATATAAATTAAAAATTTTAGAAATATTGAGGCATAAAAGTGTCATTCACCTTAAATATGTTATCGGCTTTTTGACTTTAACGATAGTGTTTTGTCGTGGCGGAATTGTCACGCTAGGCGTCCTTGTTGTGTGGCCCACGTGGTGACACGTTTATCATTTCCATTGGATGCGTGCGAGACCCGTGATCACCGGGCCGACTTGTTTTTGTTCCTTTTCCAGTTTCCCACCAAGAAAACGACGAAATTGACAGATACTTCCCCTATAACTCCTGAAATTAGACAGATGTCTCGCCTTTTTTAAATTTTTTTTGAAATATATTTCATAATTACCCCCACCATAAATAATGCACAATTAATTGGCAACTTTTATATTTCATAATTACCCCCAACTTTTATAAAATTCATTTTGATATTTATGTTTCTTTTGAATTTTAAAATTTCATATATATATATATATATTAAACAGTAACACACTTAATAAAAAAATAGTAATATTAAACAGTAACACGCTCAACAAAAAAATAATAATATAAAACAGTAACATAATAAAAAACTTTATTTTAAAACTACTAGTTACCCCTAGTTTAAAGTGATAATTAGAACTCAATATAATTTTTCAAAAAATTATATTTAAAATATTAATGAGTCATGTACAATGAATAAAATTTATCTCTCCAGCTATTAGCCTATTTTATCCTTTTTTAACCTTATATTACTGAAAAATTACTTATTAATGAATTAAAATACTATTTATCAGATGTGAAAAAGTAAAGAAATATGAGTGAAATTTTAAATTTGAAATAGTTTAAAAAAATTATGGGAGTAGTTATAAAAATAGAGGGAGTGACTAAATAAGTCAAATGAAATAATTTGATTCAAAATAGTTAATTAAATATTTTAAAAATATCATCACTCAACATGGAGGGATATACCATCTAGATTGTCTTAATAGGGCGTAATAAAGAGGCACAAGGCACGTTTGGTTGCCGTATTATAAATAGATGAATTGAATAAAATAATACAATATAATATAATACATATAGATAAAATACAAGATTAAATAAGGTATTAGAATAATACGTAATTTTATCTAATATTTGGCAATACACAACATAAGTGTTAGATAGTAGTTATTTAATCCAATAAATTATTTGGTTAGGACATTACTTCATGGTATTAATATTAAATTAACAAAAATATTTTTAATTAGTGCTTGTTACATTGATGACAGTTAAATTTTATCAGTTGAGGGTTATAATAGTAAATATGTAGAATAATACGTTTGAGTTGAATTATAATATCATATCTCTTAGCGGTATTAAAATACCTCTATAATACAGGTATATCGTATAAAAAATATACGATAAATATACATTTTTGAAATCAATACAGTATCAAATTTACTTACCAAACAAAGTATTACGCCCCATTAAATAAAAAATAATATAATTTAATATTTAATCTCCTTATAATACGTCTACCAAACAAACTCAATTTGTATAACTGATTTTAAAAGCATCGAGACATTGGTTCCATGACATTTTAATTATGTCAACCATTTCCGGTGCATTATTCTCATTTTCTATGCAATCATCACTTTGTCTTCAATGATTATGTTGTATAAATTAAATCGCGTTATCTATGATTATATTGTAAAAATAATAGAGATAACTCGTGTCTGAAAGTACGGTACAATGTAAATGAGAAGCAATGAATTTGGGGGAGAAAAAATTCAATGTAAAATGTTGGTGACCGCTAGATGAGTCTATTTAAGATCGTCGAATACATTTATTAAAGTCTGTTTTATTTTATATTATAGATGATAATTTCAAATTTAAAATTGTTTTTTGAAAACTTGGCAATGAAACAAGCGATCGATCTTATCCTGAATTTAGATGAATCAATGTTGGTTTAGGATTTATAAAGTTCTTTACAAAGCCAACGCCCAACACCAAGTTATAAAGCATGTGCTTAGGTTTAACATGTTTGATCAATAAACATGTTGGCCCATCATATCCGCAGATAAAGAAATCGCCACAAACTGCACTGTCTAGTGTTAATAAGATAAAATACAGCAATAACTCTGTACTTAAAAATACTACGTAATACTAAAAATTGAATATTTATTCTAGAATATTTATATTTTTTAAAAATGAGTTTATTTTTTTAATTACACAATTTAAAATTAAAATAAATAGAGAGAAAAGAGAAGTGTGAATTAATGATATTATATGGCATTAGAAAATGTGTTGATTGAATTGTCTAACATTAGGAATCGTTTAAAAAATATGATATTTTTTAGCATGGAAAAAAATTTGAGGATGAATTTTGTATCATTAAATCAAGGAAAAATTTCATCTACATCCCCTCTAAATAAGTCTATCTTCAACGACACTCTCTGCCTTTTCTAAAATTTCACTGACCTCCCCTGTCAGTGTTAGTTGGCTAACAGACGTGACAGAAACACATGTTTTACCATTTTACCCATAAAATGTGTAACTATTTACATATTCACTCATTATTTTTCATTAAACTATATATAAATACATATTCTTGTTTATTGGAAGTATGAACATGTTTGTTTGGCGGATATATGAGGTATTAGGAAATGGAATAAAGTAAATAGTACATAGGGTCTACTTATTACCTTGTTTGATTGATATTTTATGTGCAGTATTATTTTTCGGGTTATAATAACGACTTGATTTTTTACAGTAACATTTATTCCTTGTACATGACTTCAATGAATACCACCTATCAAGTGGTATTAGTTGCTGGTATAAATCTACTAATGGTACAAGCAAGGAAAATAACACAAATACTCTTCTCAATAGAGTTCACATATAAAAAAATTTATTTTGAATATTTTCCTTTTATTATGTTTAAGTGTACGGTGTCATTGGTTTTTTTGAAAAAATTTATTTTTGAATTTTTTCCTTATATTACGTTTAAGTGTACGGTGTCACTGGTTGTTTTTTTTATTATTTTTTTAAAAATTTATTTTAAATTAAACGAATGATGTGACCAAGTTTTTATTAAATTTTTTTTAAAAAAATTATTTTGAATGTTTTCCTTGTACTATATTTAAGCGTACGGTGTCACCGATTTTTTTTTAATTTATTTTTAAAAAATTATTTTAAATTTTTTCCTTGTATTATATTTAAGCATTATGTCACCGGTTTTTTTTTAATTTTTTTTAAAAAAATTATTTTGAATTTTTTTTTATATTATGTTTAAGTGTATGATGTCACCGGGTTTTTTAAAAAAAGTTTATATTGAATTTTTTTCTTTTTATTATGTTTAAGCGTACTGTGTCACCGATTTTTAAAAAAAAAAATTTTTTTACGATCTCACCGATTCATAACACTAGATTTTTTATTTTTTATGTGAATTTTTTACATTATTCTTCATTGATTCATGCTAGGACAAGGGCTTGGGTTCATTACCATCATGTTTTTGTAGCTAGGTGATTGGGTTGTTGAGGCATGAGAGAGAGAGAGAGAGGTGGGTTTCATGAGGAATAAGAAAGGTAAAATTGGCATTTAATAAAAATTTTGGTACGACATTAGCACTTTTCTGATGGTTTGTAACGACTGTTTACGGTAGGGGGTCTAGGTGAAGAGGACATATAATGTAGAAGGAAGTGCAGTGAAATTTCAGAAAAGGCAAGGGGTGTCGTTGAAGATAGACCTATTTAGAGGGGGTGTAGATGAAATTTTCCTTTAAATCAAAATAGATAAAAATTAGATCAATCTTAACTGTTATTATCTATATAATAAAATAGCTAGATTTTTTTATCTTTATCTTTTCGAGGCTTAGATCTCTTGATGCTTATTGATCCGATGATCCTAATTGGACTGAACTCTAACAATCTCATCTCTCATGTAACTCTCTCTCTATCGTATCTTTT